GAGAAACGGCGCGCCAACAGATTCAACCGGCCGCGACTTTGGTAGCGACAACGCTCAGGGCAACATTTTGAGAGTCAACTTCTCCACTACTGCCTGCCTCGAAAAGTCGTGCCAACCCCCCTCATCTGCCTAGTGTGTTGTCGGTCGTACAGATCACAGTCATATGAATATATGACAAAATACGCTTACAGCATTACACATTTTTGTTACGGCATCATAGGATGCAAAATTTTGGTTCAAGATTAAAAATAGAGAGAATTTTATTTTAGTGTGCCTCTTTATATTTCGGGAGAAGGCAATTCCGCACCCAGAAGAGGAGGTTCTTGAGTCAAGTAAATGTAGGAACAAGTCAATTTCCTAGACCTGTGCAAGGATATTGACTTGTTCCCAGGATATTTACTTGATTAACGAACCTCTTCTTTTTTGGAGTGCGTGCTAAAGGGCAGCGGTGCCCACGAAAGTTTTACCGAGCCGTTAGTCGGGCCTTTGGCTTTGTCACGTACCGCCGTGCGGTTCGTCCCACGGCCCTGGCCCGACGCCCAGTCCCCCCGGACCCTCGGCGGCGCCTGCCGATGAGGAGAATCCCCGCCCCCAACGTCCTCCGATATACGCGTCCCCCCGAGGATCTTTCTATCTCTTTGTGGAGTGCTTTCTCTTTGTCTCGGTCTTTCTCTCTGGCAGTGTGGGTCGCCACGAGCTCGATCAGCAGGCAGCTGGCCCAGACGTCGCGCTGTGGTGGATACAGCCCGGCTGGACTCAGGCTCCCTTCGGAAATCTACTCTCTCGTCTTGATGAGAAGAGAATTGCCGCAGGGGAAAGGAATGGTACGGGAAGGAGGCATAAGGGGGGAGAGGGGTGGAGGGCGGGTCCTTCACAGGAGTTGGACCGGAAGTGGATCTGGCGGCGGGGGGAGTGGGGCGGGGGGCGGGGGAGGAAATTGGTTCCCAGCGTAAAGCAAGGCCCCGGCGGGCCCGCGTCGGGTCCGGCACAACAGTGTCCATCTCCATCTGCATTCCCAGGCCCGGGCAGCGGGCGGATGCAGGAGACTGGGGGCAGGCCTTTGAAGAAACGGCGACTTTTGTTTCGCCGGCATGAGATGAGCTCACGCCACCCCCAACCCCAAACTCCCATCCCCGCCCCGCGTCGTCCACGACATGAAATTGGGATTGGAGCAACTGAGCAATCCGTTCGGCTCCGCACTGCAGGCGGGCTGGCGGGGGCTGGAGCGCCTGCCAAGCGGAGCGTAGGCCAGCCGCCCGACAGCTGCGTCCTCAGACGTCGGCGTTGCCTACCCACCCGGGCGTTCGCCCCCACGGACCGCTGCAAAACAGCAGATTAGGCAGAACAGCAGGGTGGTTATTTGAACCGTGGAGTGAGGCCAGCCCGAGACGGCGCGTGACCGTCAAAGAATACATCGTAGATGATGTCAAATTAGGTTTATCCTAACCAGAACCCTATTGCCTTTGATGAAACACCCGGAGCTACGAAGGCCGGGTCTGATCGGGCGAGGGCGAGGCACGTTAGAGCGGAGCGGGAGGCGGGAGCCGAGGTGGGAGCGGGCTCCGAGTAGCAACACCACTGCGACACACTGACACGCAGGCGGCAGCGGCACCCCGCCCCGCCCCGCCTCGCCACGAGGCGGCCGTATATGAACGTGCTTGTGCACCGCAAGCCCTAGGGCGGCGCGTATAGAGCTCGGCGCAGCGCCTCTAACCGGGAGGGATGGTGTTTAGGGCCGTGCTCACGTCCGTTGCGGGCGGGAACCTCCGCAGCAAGCCAGACGGTCTCTTTCCCCTGGACGGCGCCTGCGCAGCACTTTGGTCAACCATTTCACTTTTAGAATAAAAAGACTCTCATGCATCCGCGATGCCACAAGAAAACAAGCGAGCAGAGTTGTTTCAGTTATTTCGTGTTAAAAGTAGCGTTAAAAATGTAGCCCCAGCAAAAAAAAATGACCACCGTTATTCCCTTCTAAAGAAGTTTTGCGTGCAAGGAATATGAGTGATATGAATCTGTGCTGGCAAGTTATGTGGTCGGGTGACTAGAAGAGTCTGAGATCAAGAACGGTCATTTCAGTCTGTAAGGGGATGCTGGTGGGCGACGGGC